TTGGAATTCAACATATGAGATGTTTCAGCGTATTCTAGATCTTAAAGTTCCTCTATCATCAGTATTAGTTGATTGCCATTAGGATGTTTACNTTCCTCTATCATCAGTATTAGTTGATTGCCATTAGGATGTTTACTTGTCCAATAATGACTGGCTAATTATTTCAAAAACATGTGAGATATTAAAATATTTTAAGGAAATAACAGTAGAAATAAGTAGTGAGAAATGTGTTTCTATTTCAAAATCTATTGTATTTAGTCGAGCACTACTTAAGTATTGTACTCATTTGGAAAATCAGTCATATGATTCACCGCAATTAACAAATATGGTTTCCAAATTAAATCAACAAGTACAACAAAGATTTGGATCACTTGAAAAAATACAAATTTTGGCAGAAGCCATGATTCTTGATCCAAGATTTAAAAAATTTGGATTTTTTAGTGAAAGAGCATTTTTAGAAGGAAAAAAAAACATTAATTGATAAAGCTACATCAATACGGATTGAAAATAATATACCAATTGTGACAAAAAATCAACCTTCTGTTACTGGAGGAGATTCTATTTGGAACGATTTTGATGAAGAAGTAAGTAGTCAACTGATATCTACAAATCCAACTTCTGCAGCTATCATTGAAATTGATAAATACCTTCAAGAAGGGTTAATTCCAAGAAATAAAAACATTTTAAAATGGTGAAAAGACAACCAAAATGTATATCCACGTTTGTTTGAACTGATGAAAAAACACCACTGCGTATTAGCTACATCAGTGCCCTGCGAACGAATATTTTCTAAAGCAGGGCAAATTATAACTGAAAAAAGAAGTAGGTTAATAAGTAAAAACTTTGAAAAAATGATATTTCTTAATTTTAATTCTACATAATGTTTTTTTTAAATATTTAATTAAATGACTGTAGTTCTAAATATTTTGAATACCTATTTTAAAACTTTTATGATATCTTTATTTTTTCTGAATTAATTTTATTTCCTAGGTTTGGAAACATTGTTTTTGTATATAGAAACTTTATTGTAGGTTTACTTACTTCAAGTTATTGAGTATTTTTTTTATGTTTGTTGTTGATATAACAGGTTCTAGAACATGAGTAAATTAATATTATTTATGATTATATAAATACATTTTTCATTATTAGTAAATATAAAAATTTTAAATTAATATATAATATTAATATGAAGCACATTTGGTAATATTATCACCTATATATAATAATTATTACCATAATGTTCGTTTCAATATCAATTAAGAATTCCAATTTAGAATACAAACATTAGTCGGTATAGATATTTTCAAAATATTTTTATTTATGGAAATAATTTATTTTTCTTGTTACTTAACAACTGTAATTTCATTTCAGGTAATACTTTTTTGAATATTGTAGAATTATAATTTAAAATGATAATTTAAAAAATCAATCATTAATCTCAATTTAAATGTTATAACTTTTAAGTAATAATAACACTCACCCTTGATGAGTTGACATAGACTTAAAATGTTGAAATTAAATTTAAATTGAATTATATTTAAGTTACAATTTGCACAAATTCACATAACACTAATGGTAATAAGTAATATCAGTAATCGCTGGATCATGAAGAGTTATTATTAACCTTGATAAAGAATCACAATTCACATGATTCAGAATTAATTGGAAAGACGTTCTAAACTAAATTCAATTCTTAGTAGTTCACAGTGAGTCATTGAGTCACAGTACTATGGCACACTGATTCAACTCACTCAGTTCACCTAAAAGAGTCAACTCTTTCATTTGACTCACTCACGAACTACCCATCTCTAATAAAAAGGGAAAATTAAATCAAGTTGTGAGTCGGCTTAGACGTGTTTTTGTGTGCATTTTTATTCATATGTGTGTGTTTTGTTTCATATATGTTATTTTTGTTTGTTAATATTTATCAGGGCTTCTGTGTGTAAATAAATATATATGTATTAAATAATAGTATTGCGTCTTTGCTCTGCTCCTGTGGTTGCTTGTTGTAATTCCCATGTATATACACATAAGAATATGTTTTAAAAATCTGAGATTTTGACATAATTCATAATGTTTATGCATCTATTTGTTGTAATAGCATAACATTTAGTCATAGAACCAGAAATTTAACAATTTTTGCTAAAGTAACCGTAGTTACCCCAGTCTCCTCAAAGATTTGAATGTTAATTATAAATATTTTCAGAGAAAATATTTGTAACTTTCAAATTCAATCTTAAAAGTTTATTAAAATGTCCTTTTCAAAAATAATATTCTAGCTATCAATGGTTTAAGATAAAGTACAATAATTGAAATTATTTCAATTTGCATAGAAGCATTTTTATGATAACGATTTTAATAATTGTCAGATATTATCTATACTTGTGACAACTATATTCTCTGTGCTATAATTTTTTTAATTTGAAAATAATTTCAAACAACTGTTTGTTAAAAGTTTTTTATCCATAGATCGTTCATCCGTTATAGAATTTAATACATAGAGACCTGGCGTGCAGGATCGCTCGTATATTAGTGCAAGCTATAGATTTAAAGATCATTACTTATTCAAATTTATGTTAATACTTTCATGATATTTATTGCAAAATCTTTAAATAAATTAATTGGTGATTTTTTTTTTCAAAAAGCTTCCTTATATTGCTATTAAAATTACTTTTTCTTGGTATCTATGTCTGATTTTAACTGAATATTTAAAGTTTTTCAGGACATAAATTATAAATGTTTCAAATATAAATCTGGATTGACTCATAATTATTTATATAATAATAATAAAATACATTATTAATTATGTTGCGGATCTACCTTGGCTCTTATCATGAAGTAATATATTATCTTATCAGTTGTGATCTTATTTAATTTCATCTTTTCCCGCTATTTATTATATTTATAATGATAAGAATTGTAATCGTTGCTATCGTAATTATAAGTTCAACGTCTTTTATTTAAGATTAATAATTTCTGTTGGTAATTTTATTAATTTGTAACTCTCCTGTGTACTTTTTATAACGAATAATATTTTTAATAATAATAACAGTTCTAATCAAATTTAATAATTTTAGTGTATGTTATGAAGTAATCACAAATTAAGGTATCTTTAGTCGTTTACACAATATAACAAATTTGAAATATNGTAATCATAAATTAAGGTATCTTTAATCGTTTACACAATATAACAAATTTGAAATATAATTGAGTTTGAAGAATGAATTTACATGTTTATAATCCTATTTTAAAATATAAGTTATTAAGGTTTATTACCGTTATATATAAAAAGGTTTGGACAAAATGGTTTATTCTATTCCCTACTTGAGTACAATTGAACTACCATATTAATCTGATAATTATTGTTGTTAGAATTTTATTGACTATACTCTAAATAAAAATTAGACAAAGTAAATGTAAATTAGTATAAAATCAATTAAGTAAAAGATTCTTTAATGTCTAGTAGAACATTTTTCCTATATAGTCTTATAGCTATATTTTTTTATCTTATTATATATTATATAGAAATGGCTATCAATACCTTTGGGCATGACAATCCTGGACAAAGCCTATTTCAAGGGACTGATCTGACCAGCATTCAAGTTAATAATGATTTTCAAGATGATGAAGAAGATCATTTAGAAAAGCAGAGACTTCAAGAAGAGGTATTAATAATGTTAGATAGATTTTTTAGTTTTAGTTGTTAAAGGTTTCCCAATAAATACAGTGAAATTCGCTTATAGCGATCTTCTAGGGACCTAGGGAATCTGATCGTTATAACCGAACTTCGTTATATCCGGATCATAAAAAAAAAATAATTTTTTTGAAAAATTGATTTATTAAACACATTTTAACATTCAAGGTACTAAATTTTAATAAATGTACAGATTATAATACATATATAGTATACGTTTACGATTTGTTTGAAAAATAATCTTTAATAGTAGTTTGTTTATAATTTGAATAAGATTTTTTAACAAAATTAGAAATATTATTTAATGCCATTGATACTTCTGGCGTATTTATGTCACTGTTTACCGAAACAAAAGTACGCACCTGATCAATATAAAAATACATTTCCGAAATAGATGGTAATTTGAATACGATTTCTTCGCTCTCTTCGTCAGCTTGTTCACTTTCATCATTATTTGCATTCAAAATAGACTTGACAATTTCTTCTTCATTGGGTTCTTCATTGGTCAAAAGAGCATCGTCAACCTCCGCAAAACTTTGTATGTTTTCTTCAGAAAAACACTCTGTGTCCAAATGATTTTCACTTACTACTTCTGTTTCGTCGTTTACCAAAGCCTTGAATCCAGCGTGGTGGAAACAGTTTCTTATTGTTGTGGTAGAAACATCATTCCATGCATCGGAGATCATTAAAATTGCATCTAATACTGAAATTTTAATATCTTTTCCCTGTTCCTCTTGGTTAATAATTTTGAGTACTAGTTTTTCCCGAAATTTCACTTTTAATGCTTTTATAATACCTTGATCCATAGGTTGTAACACAGAGGTCGTGTTTGGAGGGAGAAAAACCAACTTTATAAAATCAGTTTGAACAGGAGGATGAGCCGGACAATTATCTACAGTCAATAAGATATGTCGTTTTTCCTTTGCTAGTTGTTTATCCCATTCTTTTAACCAGTCGGAAAATATTTCACCGGTCATCCATGCTTTTTTATTGCTTTTGTAGTCAACTGTCAAGTTTTTGACATTTTTAAAACATCTCGGAGTCTGAGATTTTCCAATTACTAACAATTTTTTTTTGTAAGAACCAGTCATATTAGAGGCTACAAGAAGCGTGAGTCGCTCTTTAGATAATTTACCACCACTGCATGTTTCCCCTTTAAAACGTAATGTTTGAGACGGTGTTAGACGGTAAAACAATCCAGTTTCATCAGCGTTATAAATGTCACAATCTGCATAATTTTTACGCAAATTAGGCCAAACGTGTTCCAGCCAATTTTCCGAAACACCAACAGGAACGCTTGACGATTCTCCGCTTATTTTTCCAAAAACAATATTGTGTCTTTGACGAAAACGGGTAATCCAAGAGGAAGAACATTGAAAATCGATTTTATTAAAACACTTCCCGAATTCGGTCGCTTTTTCTCGAAGTATCGGACCACTTATTGGAATATTTTTAGATCGTTGTATTTTGAACCATTCCAAAAGAGCCTGTTCGACGTCTTGATGTTGGCTACATTTTAATCTTTTGTTAGATGTCACGTCTTTTTGAAAAACGCTTTTTATTTGGTCTTTTGATTTCCATATGGTAGATAGTGTTGATTGACTAATTCCTAGCTCTTGGCAAAGATCTTTATTAGAAACACCACATTCTAAGCGTTCAATTATTTTCACTTTTTCAGCAATAGTGAAACAGCGTCTTCTTTTATTTGACATTTTTATCTACGGAGTTCGGAACGTGTCTAAACGGATAGCAATCAAAACGGCGACTAAACGAGTAAGAAACGTATGCTGTATACAGTACGGGCGTACAAGACACATTATCTGTTACAGATAAGATTAAGAATTATCGATTTGGACGAAATCAAATTTACTACTACAATACTGTATTATTAATCGCTATAGGTGATCAATAAAAACCAATTTTCGTTTTAAAATAACATCGCTATATCCGGATTATCGTTATAACCGATATCGTTATATACGAATAAAAATACTACACATAACATATAAAACCAACCAAATACATCGCTTGGAATCGTTTTACCCGGATTATCGTTGTATACGGCATCGTTATAAGCGAATTTCACTGTATATTGATGTAATAGAGAATACGTATAATGGGACTTTTACCAGGATAAAACATATAGACGGAGTAAAAAAAAAATTTATGGTAAGAGTAGGAATGCACCAAAGTTTTGCTTTAAGCCCTTTTTTATTTTCTATAGTGATGGTTAAAATTACTAGAGAAATAAGGAGAGGGACCATGGTGCATGTTGTTTGTTGACAATGTAGTGTTAATAAGAGAAAATAGGGAAGAAATAAATGAAAGGCTAGAGGTGTAGAGATTGGGTTTAACAATTAGTAGAAATATGGTGAGAAATGATGGCAATAAAATGAGGAGAGTAATGATAATAAATGAGGATGTGATAGATGAAGTAGAAAATTCTAAATATTAAAAATCATTTGTAATAGTAGCCAGAATTTGCTAATATTTAAGTAAAGAAACTTTTGATATTTTTAAAGAAGATATCAAACATCTAAAACCCAAAAAGATAATTTGCCAGACATGAATCTTTGAACATATAGATAGCTTAGTAAGACGTTTGACTTATGTGTATATATATATATATATACATAGGTGTCAGGTAATTAATAATGGCAACANTATATATATATACACATAGGTGTCAGGTAATTAATAATGGCAACAATATTTTGGTGAAAACACTAACTTAAAGAATCATAATTAATATAATTTGGTAGGAAGTGTGCACAATGGACCTAAAAGTCTGAGTTCATGGTTAGTTGTTGCTTACCTCTCTAACAAATAAAACTAGGAACATTTGTACAAAAAAACAGTGTTGTTGACGAGATTTTGAGACTTAGAATTAAGTGTGAATGGATCAAGAGAAGTGTGTTGTTTTGTGCAATAAGAAAATCCAAATCTCTAAAGAAAGTTCTATACGACTGTAGCGAGATACAAGTTTCATTTACAGTTCCTGTACCACACAACTCCCTATGGGTGATTCCCTGCTCCCAGGTGTTGATCATTCCCTAGATGTACATTCCACATTTCCTATCAGGTCAATAGAGGGGCTTCCTTTAGTTCTGACTGTTAATGAAAATGACGATTTTCCGAGTATCTTATCTTTACGTGAGTCACATCCTCTTTTCCCTTTCAAGTAGGGAATTTAGTGAGTCGGTTAATTTCTTATTTGTGCTTTGCCACCTTTTCCTAATGTCACAAAAGATTCTTCAGCCTTCCTCTTCTCAGATTTCTGGGAAACTAATTTCTTCCCTTCCTTCTGGGTTGTCAGTGGCTTAGTAACATAGTTTGTGAAACAAACTCTTCCTATTCTAAAATATAGACTGCATTTGAGTTCCTCCAGTGTGATCATGTTCTTCTTATCCACACTTAGGAATAGAGTTTGTTCTTTAGGGCCAACCTCTGTCTCATAGTAGATTATTTTGATGGTTATGTTCAGTCCCGGGTTCTGTTTTTCCAAGATTTTCTTACAATCCTTGAGCAGTCCCGGTATGTGACTGACCATCTTTTTGTATCTGGTCGTGCTGTAAGCCTCCATTTGAAGCTTAGCACCAAGGTTTTATTTTATTGACATTTTCAGTGAGACATCTCTTAAGCTGCACTGACCACAAGTGCTTCTACAATGAGCCTAGTGTTTTCAAACCTTGGTACATTGTTTCCATCAGTACCCGATAGTATCGAGTCTCCAATACAAATTTCAATGAGTTGCTTTTGTTCAGTAGTTACTAGTGGGATAGCCCGTGGGATCATTGCTACTTTTTTTTGTTGGTTACCACATACTTACAAATTGGTACTCAACGGGTTTTCTTTACTGGAAGTTTAGGTCCCTTAGTTTCTAATACAAGATTTTTGGTAACCTCCGACTTTACCAAGTCATCAGTTTCCTTATATTTTTTCTTCAGTTGGTTCTTTTGTCCTTTTGTGTTTTCGTGGTTCTCTGCAGCTTGAGCTTTTAAATGCTATTAAATATCTTAGATTTAAGTTTAAGACCTTCAATCCTTTCAGCAACTTCACCCAGTTTGTTTTGTGACTTCTGGTTTGCCTCTACTGGCATCATCTCTGTGCTAGTAGACGGTTCACTTAATGTCTTGTTGTTCTCATTGAGATTTTCAATTATAACAATTCTTCTACAAAGATCTATTAGTTCTTGTTTTGATAAGTTGTCTGTAAGATCCCAAGTTCGTTGTTTTGTGTTTTTTTTTATGTTTTTATCCATATAGTTTCCACGAATAGTAGAGATATGATGATCCATCACAGCAGAGCTCAATACTATGATAAGGCTTGAGTTGTTAAATCTGTGATCCTTACAGATCTCCCTATAGATAACAATTACTGTTACTAATTGTTGTGTTACTAAAATAATTGAAAACTAAAATTTTATAATAAAGAATTAATTAATTTTTTTCAGCTTAATAAAGAAATGGCAGAATTATTTAATGAAAGTGAGGCCAATATGAGTGTTATAAGTTCTAGTCATTGTAGTGACAATTCTGATGATGGTAAATTTGTTTAATTGAAATTTTTTAACTTTATATTTTATACTTGTATGGATTAAATTAAATTATTTTCCTTATTAAGAGGAAGTAAAAATAATATATTAATACCATCCACTCGAAATATATTTTTCCATCCAATATATTTTTAGAAAAATTGGTTTATATTTTGATTTTATATTTATATTTAATGTCCTCTTTGTAAAACTGCTTCTGGTAAAGAGAATGGAAAAACCCTAATAGCTCAACACAATGAAATTGAATCTCAGTACATAAAAACTGAGTCTGAATGTGTTCCTCCAACTGAACTATGTACTTTATTTTTTTTTAATTTTCAATTTTATATTTAATAAATTATTTAATTATGTATTTAATTATTTTAATATGTTCAGCTAAAGTACCTTATTCTTATCTGTATTATGTATTTTATTAAGTTTTTACATGTGAAACATTGTTGTTAATATTTATAACTATATTTAAAAAATTTTATTTACTTAACATTATTGATTTCCAATATAGAATTCTGTTTATTTTTTTTCCAGATTTAGAAAGTAACACGAGTCATAAAAAATCTATTCCTAAAGTAAAAAAAAAAAAAGACTGCATTATATCTAACAAAGTTTTTGAACATTTTCATCATAATGTTAACCAAAATTTTCATCCGGATTTTCATAAAGATGGTATAAAATATTTTTTAACGACTTTTGTAAAGCTTCTAAGTAATATAATTAATCATTTTTTTTATTTAGGATCATTTCCTTCCCCAATTCCTCAATACAATTCTCCAAATCAAGAAAAACCAACTAATTTAACTGAAGTTGCTCATAATGTAAGCAAGAATTATGTATATGAAGGTATAATTATGAAATAATTAATTTAAAATTTTTATATTACAGAATATAAATGCACTTATGATGCTTATGTATATTTGGTAATTTTCGAAGAAATAGTAACCCAAAGACATATTATATAAACAATTTTTCTTAATTTTTATATATGTCTTGTAAAACCTTTAATATAATATATTAAGCCAAAGATATACAAGGAAATTGACTAATTATAATACCTTTCACAAATGCTTATAAGTATAAAATATTATATATATATATATACAGGTTCATCAGTTTATCATAAACCACTCGATTACTCTCAAAATAAATACAATATTGAAAAAAAATTTTGCCTTTTTACATTTATTTCTTAATGTATATGCTAATAATTACTATTTAGGATCATTCTTTATTACTCAAATAGATTTCAAATTTATTTTTTTTATGCAATATACATATTGAACTAGTTTATCAAATAGAAAATAATCTAATTAAGAAAATGACTGGTCAATAGCAACTTTTGAGCTAGTATTTCAGAAGTTCTTAACAATATAAGTAATGATTGGAGGTGAGAAATAGGTACTGCTATTTTCCTGGGTTTACTTTTCTTCTCGCCTATGTATAAAAATGGTAATAACTTCCAAAGTACTGGTTCAAAAGTTGTTATCAGCCAGTAATTTTCTTAATTAGATTAATAAGTTTTATACTTTTAAACATTTGTGTGAAGTATAATTAATCAATTACCTTATTTATCATTGACTTAATATATTTTATTTATTTATTGATTTTCAAAATAATCTTTGGTCCTTTTTTTTTTTTTTCCACATTCCGGCATGTTGTGGACCGCCCTGGAACTACCGCGAGGTATTGCTTCAGGGCCACGCCGCCTAAAATTCACACCACCACGTTATGAATCAGCCCGAAATTAATCAAGAGCTGATTCACAACGTGGTGTGGCCTCCCCCGTCAACCGCATCCCAATAGTCGGGATCCGTTGCCCGGGTTGCACTTTGGTCCTATACCCCTCTAACCTTCAAAATAGTATCAATTTTTTTTATAAAAACATCTTTTTCTAGCTTAAAATAAGAAAATTACAGATGTTAATAACTTTTTAACTAGTATTTTAAAAGACATTAAAGACATTATTCTAGGGCTGTAGAAGTAGTGTGGTTCATAGATGCATTCAGATTAAAAAACACTTCATTTTCAGTCATTATAGTAAAATGTTAATAACTAAAAAAAATGTTGGTTTAAAATTTGTTAACGTCCAATCATTTTCTTGTTTTTAATGTACTTAAACATATATGTTTCCATTTAAACATAAATAGATAATATTTTAAAGGAAAGATAATTTTCTTCTTTTCAGAAGTTTATAGTGTCCTATTTTGTGTTCTATAATTTTCAAAAAAAAAAAAAATTCCTTCCGTTTTATAATTTTAAAAATATTGCGCGAGGCATAGTTAATCAATTTTCCTGTATTACATCTGTAATATGTACAAAAGCCATACAAATGGGTTTTTGAGATTTTTAAAAATTTGTTTAAAAAATTATGTTTTGTTATATGTGTTAAAAAATTACTATTAAATTTTAATAGGAATGTTTATAAATTTTAAATATATTTTTATATTCCTGTAAGTGACTAAAATTTACTTTAGTTTTTAAAAATAGCTACAGATTGGTATTTTTGGTGAAATACTGAAGTGGTTATTGAATTAGGCTATTATTCTATGCATTAGTCCTTATAAATGAATTCCCTGAAAGGATGAACCAAAAAAATATTTAATTGTTTATAAATCAAGAAATTAATAATACTAAACAAAATAAAAATAAACTTTTTTTCAAAATTATTATCACTTTAGAAGAAATGTTATGATGAAAGATTAATCAATCTTCCAATAACATTATTTTCTTTTAAAATTAATTTATTTTTATTTTTAAGAAATGCAAGGCGATACAAACCAAGAAATAACAAAAACCATTAATGAAATAAGACGTAGAGAAATATCAAGATTAGAAACTGAATTGGCAGAATATAAAATGAANTAAGACGTAAAGAAATATCAAGATTAGAAATTGAGTTGACAGAAAATAAAATGATAGCAAATATAGAAATTGAAAGTTTAAAAAAAAAATTATTATTAACAGAATCTGAAAATCAACGAGTTATAGTACAATATCAACATCAATGTGGTAAATATTTTATATTTATAAAATATAATATTTCAATATTTTAGTATTTAATTTATTAAATAATAGTTTAAAATATTTGAATTAAAAAAAAGTAAAATATAGTTAAATAATTAATATATATTTAAATAATTAAGTAAAAAAATATATGTATATTTTTAGAGAATTTAAAAAAACAAGCTCAACAGTTAGAGGAAGAAAATGAATGTTTGAAACATAAAGTCGAATTATCTGAAAAATCAAATGTCAAAGTGAGTTAATTTTAGTTTTTAAATAGTCTAATATATATTTTAGCTTCTATGTGTAGCTAAGAAGCTATTGGTTTTACTTTTCCATGTTTTTTTGTAGATAAGTTTAATCCACTTCTTTGTACCTATTATGCTCAATAATATGTCAGAAAATTACTAAATGTATCTAAATAAAACTATTATGTGTACTACGAATTATTACAAAATTTTTATTGATAATACTTTAGACAAAAATCCTGCAGACTATACTTTTTTTTAAAATCCAATCATTTAATATACTGTTGGGACTTAAAAATCATATCAACATTTTTTTCTTTATAATTTTTGATAATTTTCTAAAAACCTTACCATTTTTAATTTTACAACAAGTTAAAAATAATAAAATGTATATTGTGATAAAAAAAATAAAGTATCCAAAATATAAATTTCTAGAAGTTATATTAGGTATTAAAGTTGTATGAACGCAGCGCCCGGTGGTATTCACGCGGGTTCTTCAACGTTGGTGGTTTTGTTTTGTCTTACGTTTTAGCTATGTCGAGGATAAAGAATAAGATGAGTGGACTGTATGTTTGAATGTTGAATGAATTTCACAAGATATAATTATAAAAATTAAATGTATTATATAATAAATATAAAATCTTATATACACCAATGTGGATAGGGGGGACACTTAATACTAATGCCACAAAGGCAATGATATAAACAAATAATAAATTATACAAGTGAGTCTTAGAAAGATAAATGAACAAGCATTATACTTATCTGCTAAATGAAAACGGCTGATGATAATGCTGAATATTGAAAGGATCAAGTGTCGAATGCAAGTTGCTGACCAAAGTGTACAATATGCTGTCAAAAGTATTGTGATGTGTCTCAGAAAATATATAGACCCAACGGCGATAAAACTGAGCGCACAGGGTACGAAAAGGTGATATTTTCTTTTTACAGTAAAACGAATACAAAACTACTAGCTCGCAAAAACGCCATAGAGCTTATAACAGAAGAAGCGTTAAGATGGCTGCAACAACGGTGACATAGAGAGAAAAACCGACAACAACTCTATGTAACACAACGATAACATGAATAATCAAAAAACACATTTTCTTGACAGCATATTCGATCGATGTGTATCCAACAAAAGTCAAAGAAAAATCACACCATTTCCAGTAAAAATAGCTGATTTTAACATGTATATAGCAACATCTACATAGTTAAATAAAAATTATAAATTTAATGTACCATACAATTAAAAAAAATATATGTTTCGATGTCTTGTCTTCTCTGAGTTATTGGCCTCAAATCATGCCAATCATGTAATTTAAAAATCTAAATACAATGCCATTATTTAATATAAAAAAGAAAAGCTTAATATCATTGAATTATCACACAACTAATACAAAAACCATATAATTTTTGGTTAAAATAGTTGATTTTAAAAAAGGTTTTGTGTAACAATGGAACATCCACATCATTCAAAACTAATCAAGTTATAGTTTATTTAATGCATTTTATGATTATAAAAAGAAAGATGTTCCAGTGTCTTGTTTTCTATTAGTAATCGACTTTTAAAATTGTAAATCATGTAATTTTTGGTGGATATGTTAAGCTTTTCAAAAATACATTGAAGCATTTAGGACAGTGATTTTAATTATTGTTAGATATCAATTAATACTAACCTAAAAAAATGTCTTAACTCCAACCTTTTCTGGATCCCTACTGTACTTTATTTTTGATTGTTTGTTAATAGTTAACTAAAGATATGGATAAAATGCGTTTAAATATGGTCAATCTTGAAGAACAACTCACTATTTTAAATCGAAATAATGGAACAAAGCATTATGATACAAATTTTGATGTTATTATTAATGACTTAAAGAAAAATCATGCTCAGGAAGTTGCTTATTTACAAGATCAGTATAAAAATCTAATGGATCAAATGAAAGCAAAAGTATATTATTTTGTTTAAAAAAATATTTAGTCTATTATTTTATTGCTATTTAAAAATAATATCTAATTTAACAACTCAAATTTTTTATTAAGTTATTTATATAATCAAATGTTTTATTTTTATTTTTTAGGATAATCATTGTTTGATATTATCAAATGAATTTAAACAATTGCAACAAGCTCACTACAAAACTATTTCAGAAAACAGTCATCTAATAAATGATTTATCTAAAGAATTGAATAAAACACATAAAATGAATCATACATTTCAGCCATCTAATAGTTTCGAAAATATTATTCAACTAAATAATCAACTTACCCAGTGTGCAAAACAAAATCAACAATTAAATAATACAATAGAAAAATTAACAGCAAGTTTTTTTTTACTTAAATAAATCATTTAATTTTTCTTTCATGTTTAATAACCTCTCTATAAGTTATGTTTGTGCCATAGAGATTAGGAAAACCTACATAGCCCAGTGCGACAGAATCAATCCTGGTATTTACATACTGAGACACGACATTTTACTGACTGAGCTATGAAGGCCACTAAATTTAAATAAATATGTAAATATATGACATATATTGTGTAGTAAATGTGTAACATTTTACATAGGTTGAAAATGAAAAATTACGATCAGATTTAAATACAAAAGTTGTCAACCTTAGTCTCATCAAAGTTGATAAACCTACAGAAGATTCTGATATGAATAAATTAAAAGATAATTATCAAGAAACTTTACAACAACTTCAAAAACAAAGAGACGATGTTAGTAAGCTCACAGAAATATTAAAAATTAAAGACAAAAGTATTGCAGAAAAGGAAAAAAAAGAAATAGCATATCATGATTGCCTAAATAAAATACAGGTATTTTAAATTTTTAGTATTTGCATTTTATTTTAAAAGTATCTTGTGTTTCAGTTTGAGTTGAATAAACACATCCAAGAAAAAAATCAATCAAGTGTGCACTCAAATCATGATTGTGAAACTTTAAGAAACACTTTAGAAATGCAATTAGAAGATACTTTTTGTAAATTGATTCGGGTTGAAGAAGATGGTGTTGCTATAATGAAACAAATAAAAAATGATGAAAAACTATTGAGTGCTAATATTGTTGATGAGTATATGTACTATCATCAAGTTTCTATGGAGAAATTTACAAAAGAAAAAGATGAAGAGATGAAACAATTACAGTATGTAACAATCCATCTACTAAATATACTTGTGTATATTTATTTATTATGTTTATTCTATTCATATTGTTTTGTATTAAAATTCTTGTAACTTAAAAAGTACTTATATAAAAATTGTTATTGCTACACTAACATTTTTTGTAAGAAAAGCACTAAACTATTTTTTAATTTTGAAAAATATTTTTAATTATAGACCAATAGTTAAAGGAGTTATCAGTATATTTGAGAGACAATATAGGGTGCTTCTATTATCATAATCCTCTTAATTAATCTTCTTCTTCTTCTTGGGTTTATTGGGCCTTTAAGACCATCTCGTCTCACAACCAAGCTTCCAGCCTTCTCTGTCCACTGCCAAATCCCTCCAATTGGACACACCTCCAATCTCAAGGATGCTCAACATCCTTTTTTACAACATCTTCCCAGCGCATTCTTGGTCTTCCGAAAGGTCTTTTACCTACAGGATTTTGTTCAATCACTGCATGTAGAAGTGGATTTTGGTTCCTCCAAGCATGGCCGGTCCATCGTAGTCTTCTTCCTCTGATAATCTTCAATATATTCGGACCACTATATAGTGTTTCTAGTTCTATATTCTTTCTTCGTCTCCACTCCCCAGTTATTTCGTCCTTGACTGGGCCATATATTTTCCGTAATACTTTTCTTTCAAAGGTAATAAATCTCTGTTCGTCCATTTTTCTAAGTGGCCATGTTTCTGATCCATATAATATAACCGGTCGTATCAGGGACGTATATAATTGTTAATTAATTCTTCGCGATATTACTCTTGAATGTAGTATCTTAGTGAGTCCAAAGTAACATTTATTCCCAGCTTGAATTCTCGCTGCTACCTCGTTTGCTATATTATTTTTTTCAGTCAAAATAGTACCGAGGTATTTGAACTATTGTACTCTTTTAAATTCGTAATGATCTATTTTTATGGACTGACAAAAGGGTAGCTCTCGTCTACTCAAGATCATATACTCCGTTTTTTGTTCGTTTACGTATAGTCCTACTTTTGATGCTGCTTTATACAATCTACTAAATAATATCTTCAATCTATCTTCAGATTCTTCCATCAACACTATATCATCCGCATAAGCAAGTATACCTATCGCCGTGTCTTGTAGTCTAATACCTTCATGAGGTTCAATTTTCATTTCCCTAATTACCCTCTCTAAAACCACGTTGAACAGAATCGGCGATAACGAATCACCTTGTCTTAGTCCTGAATTCACTCTAACCGGGCCAGTTATTGAATTTCCCACTTGAACCCTTACCAAGGTCTCCATTACACTGATCGATATTAGATTGACCAGTTTTTGTGGGAAATAAAATTCTTTCATAATATTCAGTAGACTGTCTCTATAAATACTATCATATGCTTTTTTAAAGTCCACGAAAAGTGTATGTATTTCTTTATCAAACTCCCATTTTTTTTTTGAAACAATTGCCTAATTATGAACTTCTGGTCCGTCGTAGATCTACCAGCTCTAAACTCTCCTTGATAGTTTCCTATTATTTGTTCTGCTTTTTCTTTAATTCTGTCTAAGACACAATTCGAGAATATTTTATATGCTACATTAAGCAAGGATATTCCCCGATAATTGTTGCAATCCTGTCTATCACCTTTTTTGTGAATTGGCACACCACCGCCACCTTCCAATCCTCTGCAAGTTTTTCTGTTGTCCACACCCTGCTAATGACTTGCCAGATCCATCGTATTGCATCTTTTCCTCCATATTTTAAGAGTTCCGCTTGAACACAATCCTCTCCTGGGGATTTGTGACTTTTTAATCTTTGTACTTGTACTTCAATTTCCTCAAGTGAGGGGTGTGGGCATTCTTGTGTATTTATGTTCCTAATATTAAAGAGACATTTTTCGGTTGGTTCCTCACAGTTTAGTAGATGGTCAAAATACTTTCTCCATTTTTCAGCTATTTCTTTCTCTGTAGTTATTAACATTCCATCATCATCCTTAAGAAACCGTTCCTTCTTTTTAAAATCTTCTTTTAAATCTTTCACTCTCTTACACATATCGCGGGTCCTATTTAACCTAAAGTCCTGTTCTGCATCTTGCATAATATTTTGAATATACTTTCTTTTTTCAAATCTTATTGTATTGTGAGCCTCTTTCCTCCGTCTGCTAAATTCTGTAGCACTTTCTTTATTATTAGTATCTTTCAACCATTCTTCCCGGGCTATCTTTCTCCTTTGTACTGCATCTTCACAAATTTTGTTGAACCATGGTTTCTTTCTCTTTTTTCTTATCCCTAAGGTTATTTTTGCGGTTTGTTGTACAACACCTCTAATTTTGCCCCAAACATCATTCACATCGTCTGTGTTTATTATTTGTTGTTCTTTAAGATTTTCGCTGATTTTTTTGTTGTAATTTTTATATATGTCACCGTCTTCTAACTTCTCAATATCATACCTCTCTATTGTATTTAATTTGTGCATGCTTTGCTTCTTGAATTTTACTCTTATCCAAATACCTAACAGAAGATGGTTGGAGTTTGCGTCGGCGCCTCGTAATGTTCTCACATTGATTATACCATTTTTAAACCTTTTGTTAACCAGTACATGGTCAATCTGGTTCTTGTGTCTCCCATCCGGTGACACCCAAGTATATTTGTATATATCTTTGCGTGGGAACATAGTGCTTTTAATTATTAAACCTTTTCCTAATGCAAAATTTGCTAGTCTTGAACCATTATCATTCGAGTGTATTGGAGGCTGTGTATTCCTGCCACTTCATAGTATATCCTTTCCTTTCCTATTTTAGCATTTAGGTCACCTAGTATAATTTTTATATTTCCCAACGTTGTATCAAATATCTCCTCAAGTGTATCGTAAAACTCTTCCTTTTCTTCCTCATCTTTATCCTTCGTTGGCGCATGTACATTGATTAACACTATATGAAGGTCTTTATCCTTTAGGGTTAATGTCGAGATTCTCGGATTTACATATTTGAACTCTTTAATCATATGTAGAATCGATTCATGTACAGCAAAACCAGTCCCTAGTTTGTACCCTCGTTCGCTTCTTCCATTTATGATTGTTGTTTGTGACATTTTTGTTGTTCCCGCATCCTCCAATCTCATCTCTTGTAACCCCACACTCTTCATTTTGTATCTCTTCACTTCACCTACTAATTCCGCTGCTACTCCAGGTTTGTATAGTGTTTGTATATTCCAAGTACTACATTTTAAATCCGATATCCAATTTCCAGTCGTTTTTCCCAATCTAGTCCGAAGCTTGTTGTTGTTCGAATCCTGAACATGAAGTTTTTACAGTACAGTTTGTCGGCCTGTAGCTAACCTATCTAAAGATAGGTGTCAGAGTTATCTTTCGATAACCCTAACAAATAGGGTACGCGGGGTCGTCACACCTGTAGACTTAATAAAGTCTCCCTTGCGGGACCTCTTAATTAATAGAAAAATAAAATTAATATTGAGAATTTTTTTTTTTCATTTAATTACATCTCCTCCTCCTTTTTCTTTCTCTTTCTTTCTTAATTCCTACTACTTGGGATTGGCCACCCTTATCCTAAACTTCCACTTGACACGATCTCCCATATCATCTATCACATCAGCTGTCCACAAATCGCATTCAATAGCATCCCTCCATCTCTATAACTGTTCTTGCAGCTTCCGATTCTTCTCTCCGCATAACATGACCAAACCATCTAAGTCTATTTTCTCTCATCTTATCCATGATTGACGCTACACCTATAATCCCTCTTATGTGCTCGTTCATTATCCTATCTTTTCTAATCACTCCACTCATCCATCTAAGCATTCTTATCTCTGCTACACTCATTCTCTGCTCTATTTTCTTATCAACCGCCCAACACTCTGAACCATTCATCATAGCTGGCCTTATTACAGTTTTGTAGAATTTACCTTTCAGCATCATTGGAATTCTTTTATTGCATAAGACACCAGACGCTTCTTTCCACTTCAACCACCCGCACTTAATTCTGTGTCTTACATCCTCGTCAATACCGCCACTCTTTGGCACAACTGACCCTAAATACTTAAAATTCTCCACCTCTCCAATTACGTCCTTGCCTATTGTCACTGACCTCATTTCATCTACCTCGTGTTCTCCTTTGTCAAACTCGTACTCTATATACTCTGTCTTACTACTACTTATTCTTAAACCCTTTTCTTCAAGAGCTGTTCTCCACACCTCTAGCCTTTGATTAATTTCCTTCTTATTTTCTCCTATTAACACTACATCTTCAGCAAACAACATGCACCACGGCGCCTCTCCTTGTATTTCTCTAGTAATTTCATCTATCACTATAAAGAATAAGTAAGGGATTAAAGCAGAACCTTGGTGCACACCTACTCTTACCCGAAAACCTTCTGATACTCCTCCTACGCTTTTTACCCTAATACAAGTTCTATGATACATATCCTCTATTATATTAATGTACCATTCCGGAACTCCTTTTCTCATTAATGCCTACTTTAAAACCTCACTCGGTTCTCTATCATATGCTTTATCCAAATCTATAAATACCATACAAAGCTTTTTATTTTTTACTCTAAACTTTTCTATTAGTTGCCTCACACAAAATAATGGCTCCATTATTGACTTACCAGGCATAAATCCAAACTGGTTTTTAGATACCGATATCTCATTTCTTATTCTCTTATCTATTACCTTTCCCAAAATTTTCATACTCATAAGCTTTATGCCTCAATAATTTCCACACTCCTGTATGTCACCTTTACCTTTAAATATCGGCACCACAATACTATTCCTCCATTCATTTAGAATTTTCCCTTTTAATAAGATTTTATTTAAAAGTTCCTTCAACCACCTTATGCCAACACCGTCTAATATTTTCCATACTTATACTGGAACTTCATCTGGTCCCATTGCTTTATTCTTTTTCATTGATGTCACAGCCTCCCACACTTCTTTTTCACTAAATAAGTCTACCAGTCCCTCATTCCACAAGATATCCTCTAATGTCTTTTTGGGTACTCCTCATTCAATAATTTTTCAAAATACTTTTTCTATCTTTTTCTTGACATCATCATCACTCGAGAGTACCTTATTATCAATACTTTATACACCTTATATAATGACAATCTTTAGACCTTTTCTCTCTTCTCTTTGCAAGTCTATAGATTTTTTTCTCGCCTTCCTTTGTTCCTAGCCTATCATACAACTCATCATACCTCTTAAACTTCGCCTTACTTACTGCACACTTTTCATTTAATTACATATTTTTCTCAATTTATCAACCATATGGTATTTTTTATATTCATCCATTATTTCTATAAGAGTAGTAACTTATTTTTTTAAAGTAGTACTATATATAATTAACTAGTTTATTTATTATATATTGATTTAATTTAGAAAATGACTGTCAATCAACTTTTGGACATAAATATTTTGGAAGAATTTAACAATTTTATATATAGGCAGGATTGTGGCTGAAATATTTCTAGCATTAAAGAATAAAAGCTCATACGCATTACCTCTAGTTATTTTTTTATTATTTTAAATCAACTATAACTTGGTAGTAATAACAATTAAAAAGAGTTTATTGTTTGTAATAATTTGCCTATTTATTTATATTTTGAATATCTTATATATTTATATATATTACAAATATAATTTAAAAAAAATAACTTTTAAGCTTATAAAGTTTCATAAATTAAGTAATATTAATTTCTATTGGAGAGTATTAAAAAAATATGGTAGTACTTTAATTAGTATAAACTGAAAATTACAAATACTATTTTTAGATTTACTTAAATATTTTTTTAATTTGGTTAGATAAAATTGTTTGAATATTTTTATGTACATTACATGAGTATATCAACAGTAATTTTTTTATTTAGATATAACTGTGTCTTCAGTTTTATCCTGATATCTCGACTTTATTGCGTAATTCACTTTGAATAGTTAGCTATTTTGGGTTATACTATATTTTTTTTATTGTTGAAGTTATGATCTATATTCTTCTTCTCCATACATAATTCGACCCTTAGGATTATACTGACAAGTTCCCCTATTTGATGAATTCCTAATCTCTAGTATATAACTCTTACTAAAGCTTCAACATCTTTTTTATTTGGTCCTCTCATCTTAGACAGTCTTCCCATTAGTCTTTTTTATTTCTAATTTGTCATTTATATATTTTTGACAAAAATATTTAACTCACTATAGATCTATTAACTTTTTTATAAATATGTATATAACTCCAAAGGTTTTCTTTGAACATTTTCTAAATGAAAAATAAATATAAGATGAGAAGAAGTATTGATTGTGGTGATTTAGAATTTTTTTTTTTTTGTTAATATTTATAATTTGTGGATCTTACAAAATTGAATTAATTATGTTAAACTATTTTTATTTTGTAGAAATAGAATTGAAGAATATATAAAAGAAATTGATGAATTAAAACAAATGTATGTGAAATTGTGTTCAGAAAAAGAAAATAGCTTAAATGAAAAAGAGAAAATGAAAAAGAATTTTGATGTTTTAAATTCTCAGTTTCAAACATTAGATAAACAGTATGCATTAGTTATAAAAGGTATTCTCATTTTTTAATTTATCTTATAAAATAACATTTATATTAAATTGAGTAAAAGAAGTCATTGTAAATGGATTTTTTTTTAATCAATACACAAGTTTTTATTTCAAATTTACATTTAATATGATCGCAAAACATCAGAATCAGAAATTTTCTGATTCTATTTTATTTAAATTTTCTAAATTTTCTAACTAAGAATAGTTAGAAAATTAGAATAGCAAAAAAAAGAATTTTCTTAAAGAATTCAGAAAATACATTTTTAATTTATAATAAAATCTGTGGAATATTCTAAGAGAAAAGATAAATTTACAATTACTCCATTCCACCTTACATCCTTTAACAATTTTAGGATGTACATTATTTATATATTAATGTATTTTTTTTTTTCAAATTTTAAAATTAGGAGTATTTTCCTATGAGATTTAAAATAATATCTACAAAATTTGTATATGACATGATTAACATGACACATTTTAGGCTCAAAGCTTAGATAAAATCTAAAAATTTGTAGTTTTTTGGATATTTCTATAGAAGTTTTGATTTTTTAAAAATGTTATTAGGAAAATTTTTGTAGAATTTGTAATTTATGTACAAGTGTTCTTATAAATTTTTAGCTTCGATGCGAAGCTGAGAAGGTATTAATTTTACCATGATGTGATTTTGCCACAAAAGATGTCTTGCCACTTTTTCTCAGCTCTCACTGGACCGATTTCTTTCAACAATACGTCAAAAGATCACAAATTGTATCTAGTTGAAGACATTACCCTTAAAAATTGAAAAATTTCCTCTAGTTCCACGCAAATGGGGGAAATATCCAAAAAAATTACAAATTTAAAATTCGGTAAATTTTGTCATTTTTTTCACCTTTTTTTTTTTAAAACTTCCATAACTTTTTCAAATATTAACAAATCAAAATAATATTTTTTTATATTGAAACCTTAGGTAATTTCCTTTTGTTTGATATAATTTTTTTTTGAAAATCTAACACTATTCTGCTCACAAGCTTATTTTATGTATCGGGTCAATCCATGCCAAATCATCCAGAAGTGGTTGCACGACCACCTCATATTTTTCTGAAAATTTCAGGGTTTATACATAATGTATATTTAGATTAAAACGATTTTTTTTTTATGATCTTCCCATTGTTATGGCTATTTCAGTGTAAAAAAAGTTAAAAATAGCTAGATTGTTAAAAAACACACAGATTATTTAATTTCAACTCAATCGAATTAAAATTTTAGATTTGACCCTATTATTACTTAAAGTTTACAAAAAAAAAAAAATTAATGTGAAATTCTAAACTTTAATGACTTTCAAAAAATGGTGCTTTTTTTGTGAAAATTGGCGTTATTGAGCTCACTTAAAACCATTAAGAAGTTATTATTTTATTGTGATTTTTACATGTGGTATTGTATAGTGTATAATCTATGTTTCAACTAAATTTCCAATTAATTGGAAATTAAGTTCCCCAACAGAGATATTGCACTTAGAATACACGTATTTTTATAAAATTTCTAACTTTGTAGGCCTCTAAATCCCAAGATAATTGTTTTAAATATTTGAATTTACATAATCATAAGCTAGTTTAATATGTATGTTGCCATTTAAAAAAAATAAGTTGACACTCCTACTACATCAAGGATAAATATAAAATATAGTCCTTAAATAAAAATATATATATATATATTACATTGTAACCAACAAAAGTAAAAATAAATTTCACTAAAAATTATTATTTAAAAAAAATTGAGTGGCTAGTGGTAAAAAAATCACTCTGTATAAATCACAAATTAATTATTTATTTTAGAAAAAGAAGAATTGGCTATTGAATTAATTAGTGTCAAAAAAGAGTTAAATTTTTTGCAAGATTCATCTCATAAACAAATGGTATTATTTTAATTTATTAATATTTTATTTTATTCTTAATTTATTGTGACTGAATAATTTTTTTTATGTATAAAAAGATTGTTTTTTCTTCTATATGATTTTTCATTCAATCATTTTAATAATTTGTAGCACAAATTCAAATATTTCGCCCACAATTAAAAATTAACATTAATAAATAAATCTAACTTTTTTAATGGTAGTTTCAATATTTATAATCTATTATATAGTATCAATTATTTTGTTTTTTTCATTCTCTCTATTCAATCCCATCTCTTAACTAAAATTCTTCAAACTGAAACTCAAATATATTATCATTTTAAATAAAATAATTTTTATGTAAAATGTATAATCAAAAGTGACTTTTGTGTTAAATATCTATAAAAATAAACAAATATCTAGTAATTTTGGACAATACAATTATGAGGCTTATAGAGAATGTGCCATGATAGAAATGTAAAAATTATGTTTTGTATCACAATTTAAACAGGGTGCAATGTATTGAAAGAAAATATTAAAATGATATTATAATAATTAAATATTTTTTGAATCTGTAATTAGTTTAATATTTATATAAAATCTACTTTTGGCAAAAAAAAAAAAAAAAATATTTTCAAGAAATTTATTTATATTTAAGTAAGTAACTTATATTATAGAAAATCTAAAAAATTCTAAAATATTATTACATTTAATACATTATTTACAAAAATATAACTACATTGTTCTGTCCAATAACAAATAAGATTCAAAATCTATGAGATTGTTCAGGTGAAGTATTAATAATTTAGTTTATTCAAAACTGTCATAGACTGTTGTCTAAGATTAATAAAAATATATAAATTTTTCATATTATTCCTCATATTTATCAAAANTTATATTAAAAAAAAGGGCATCATTATATAATTTAATGTACAATAGGAATATGGTGTTAATATAATGAAAATATTAAAATCATCTGATTTTAATGATTTAACTTTATTTTTTGGGATACTTTCATAAAAAAAATTCAAGGTGATTTTTTTTTTAAATTTTGGAAGCATCATCTAAAGTTAAATATAATTCCAGCTGTTTTGACGTATTATTTTATAAAAAGATACAATAGGAGACATTGTTAAATAAATATCTTTTCCAAATTGCAATGAAGCTTATATTTTAGATAGGTTATACTAAATTTATTTTTAAAAATAATTTATGTTAGTTGGAAAAAAAAATTGAAGACCTAAAAAATGAACTAAAAATTCAATCACGCCAAAAAGAAATGATAGACCAGTTTAAAATTGATTTAGCTCAATCTAAAGAACGAGTATTAGCAACAGAGCAACGATTATTGGCAGAATATAATTTAAAAGTAGAAACTTATAAAGAACAATTAGAAAAGTTAAAAAAGTTATACAATGACAAAGTTTGTTAATTTATTTTAAATTAAATTTACTTAATTTTGTCCAAATTTTAATATATAATTATAAAATCTAGGTTGAAGAGTTAAGACAATCCAAAGAAACCATTTCTAAGTTAACCAAATCTGATATACTAACTTCAGAAAAATGCAGTGATAGTGAAAATATAATTAAATCAAAATTAACTGATTATGAAAATTCATTTGTAAATATGGAAAGAAAATATAAACTTACTATTAATGAAATAACTTATAAGTATAAAAACGAAATACATGAATTAGAATTACATTACAATAAAATTATTAGTAAGTAACAGTTAAAATTATATTACCCATTTGAAAATGTTAGTTTTGTCTGTTGAAATATTAAAACATAAAATTTATGTTTTAATGGTAAGATATTTAAAATTATACTATTACGATAAAATAAAGAAGATTAAGATAAAATCTAGTTAAAAAAATATATTAAATACATTTCTAGTAAAAATCGTTCAATGGTTTTAGTTTTGTTATAATATTTTTTGCTTCAATTGTACCAAACAATATTTCTTAGTTAAATAAATTTGAATAGGTGCTGAAAAAATTTTGTGGACAAAGAAAATTGAAGAATTGAAAAATGACCACAAGTCTGAAATAGATTCATTAAGATCTATGATAAAAACAAATCCTATTGATGATAACGAAGATTTAAACAATATTAATAATCAACACCAAAAACAATTAGAAAAAGCTAAAGAAATGTTATCGTTTAAAACTAATGAAGTAAGTTTTATATAGGTATAATCACTAAGTATCATGTAAATATTTCATATAATTTACTGTAAATTATAATTTATAAAATCAGATAAAAATCTTTTATTTGACTATACAAACTGCATAATAAAGTAATGCAAAATAAAATATTCTAAAAATTTTTACTGGTTACTTCCTCTTTATCTAGTAGCTCATACAAAACTTATTTAAAGACTATAACTATTTTACTATGTTTTAGTATTATTAATATTCAGTTATGTTTGGCTATATGTTTTTAGATAAATGAATTAAAAATTAAATTAGAAGAAGCTAAATCAAATATCACAAAAAAAACAATTGATATTGAAAATTATAATGGAATTCTTCTTTCTAATTCTAAAGATCTTGACTGTATGAGAAAGCAAATTGAAGAAGAAAGATCAAAATTTGCACAAATTATGACTAATTGGGCACACGAAGTAATCAAAGAAATAATTATTATCATTAGACAACTATTTATCTCCAAAAACGTACTATATAAAAAAAGCATCAAACATTTTTTAAATATGAGGTGTGTTCAGAAAATAATGGGAATTTTTAAATTTAGGAGATTTGGAAAGTTTCATTATCAAATTTCTTTTCTTAATTTTGGTACACATGTCCCTAAAGTATGATAAAATTTTCAGTTAGATTCAATTTTCATGTTGTCAGGGACAGCCGCAAAAGTTGGACGTGTTTTTATGACATCGGCGATTTTTGTTAGTTAAAAAAAACTAGATCAAATGATTTGTATAAAATTTTGCGTAAAAAAAAATAAAATGTAACAAAATGTGAGAATTGTTAACAAGGGTTATGGTGAGTTTACTATGAGTAAAACAAGGGTTTACGAGTGGTACGAGCGTTTCCAAGACGGCCGTGAAGACGTTGAAGATGACAAACGCCCCAGCCCATCAACAACCGATGTAAAAAGTGAAAGAAATGGTTGTTATCAATCGCCGAATTTCGAGTTTTGAACAAAAACGGCGGTGAATGGAAGTTGCTTAGGAATCACTTAATGAAGTCAACGACGATTCAGAATTACTGAAATTTGATGAAACATAGGTTTATGGATATAACGTCGAAACTAAGGCTCAATCAAAAGTTTTTCTGGAATTGTCAAAACCGAAAGTGCGATCAAACATGAAGGTTATGCTTACTGTATTCTTTGATTTTAATGTCATAGTGCATCATGAATTCTTGTTACGAGATCAATCGGTCAATAAGGAGTACTTCCTACAAGTCAACACCTTTTGCGTGAAGCAATCCGAAAAAAACGCCTGGATTTGTGGCAAAACAATTCATGGCTTTTGCACAACGATAATGTACCTGCTCACACTTCATTGCTTGTTCGTGAATTTTGGCCAAAAACAATACTGTAACAATGTCCCAACCCCCATAGCCAGACATAGCATAGCCCTGTGTGACTTTTCTATTTCCAAAAACAGAAATAATTTTAAAGGGAAACTTTAAACATACAAATGACATTAAAAGCGCATTGCTGAATGAGCTGAAGGCTACCCCAAAGAGCGAGTTTGTTTCAATTATTGGAAGAAGCATTGGCACAAGTGCATTATATCTAATGGGGACTTTTTTGAGTGCAAAAATATTAATGTAGACGAAAAAAATAAATATTTTTTTCAAGAGACGAAAACTACCGTTATTTTATGAACACACCTCGTATTTGTTCCTATTTGAAAAAACAAAATTAACATCTTTACAAGGCATAAGGAATAAACTAAAAAAGTATTACATAGCTTAAAGAACAAGATGTAATAGAAAAGAATTCAAAATGTATTTACTCTGCAAATATTGAGTGGGTTTTGTTAAATAATTATAGTTTAAAAAAACTGAAAAATACGCTTTTAAAGCATACCGAACTAAAAAGTTAAAATAATTTTAAAAATAAGCTTAAAACAATAATGAACGAAAAATACTAGTATTATTGCGAAAAAAAGCGTGAGGGCTTTGTGCCATATTTTTCGTATATTGAGCGCCCGACGTTTTATTTCAANAAAATATGGCACAAAGCCCTCACGCTTTTTTTCGCAATAATACTAGTATTTTTCGTTCATTATTGTTTTAAGCTTATTTTTAAAATTATTTTAACTTTTTAGTTCGGTATGCTTTAAAAGCGTATTTTTCAGTTTTTTTAAACTATAATTATTTTATACTTTTAAGTTTTTTATGACATCGTTGTCACAGTCACGAAGTGTTTATTGTAAATTATGACTATCAATAGATATAATTTCTGTATTGCCAGTTAGTGTGTTTAAAAACTCACAACAATGTGTCTTATGACCATTGATAATAAAGGCTATATACATAAAAATCTAATAAATTATAATAATAAAATTAGCTACCTGTATTTGTAATCCCTTGTGTATTATACCTATATATTAACCTATATATTTATATCTAATAAACAAATTAAGTTTTATTAAAAATTTAAATGCCATTTACTATTAAATTAAAAACTCAAACATTTTATTAAATTAAATATGTGTTACCATTTAAAAAAACAAAGTTGACACCCTTACCAGGCATAAGGGATGAACTTAAAAAGTATTACATAGTTAATAATTCAAGAATAATGTAAAACTAAAGATAATAATAAAAAAATTTTTTTAATTATTATTATTCTGTAAGTAATTGAGTGGGTTATGATAAAAAAATCACCCTGTATATATTGATAATACGCACTCATGTACGGATACGAAAACCAAAAATAAAATTATACAGTAATAGTGTTATCGTCGTGGGGTGAGCAGGGTGGGGTGAATGCGTAACGACAGTCTTGTCTTAAGGCCATAGACGACGAGATACGCGCAAATAATAACACGTGCCGCATGGAGAGTTACAAACATATATGAATACAGGTGAAACTAATATAAGCGTGTTTTTTTTAATAGCTTTATTAAAATATTATTTAGCTCAACAATTATAAGCGAACGTAAAAAGTATAACAGTCATAGTACTATGTTACAACGGTACAACAATTGCGGCGATATTTGTTAGTATAGTATTAGTACATTCTTTAAAATTATTGTTAACAGAGACTTTTATGACAAACTGAAAATTATTAAGTTAAAACTTTTAATTGAAAAAAAGGAAGAGAGAAAAAAAACAGATAAATAAATAACTACAATATAGTAATAATAATAATAAAATAATTAGAGATTAAATGACAAAGCCGGAACTCCTCAAGAAGAATATGATGGAAATAATTATAATGGAAGTATGAGAATTAAGAGTATTAGCTACGGAAAGGGGATTAATATTGTGGGAGGCTAAGAGGCTAAATAATTTATCTGCTGTTAATTAAGACAGGACAATTAAAGAGAAGATGAGGAAAGTGAGAAAAATGAGAAATAATGAAGAGGGATGAGAGCCCCAGGATGTACCAGTAAAAAAGTGTAAGAAATTTGCCCAGCGAGCAGCGGACGAAAGAATGAAACAGAAATGAGAAAGCCATCTCAGCTTAGGATCCAGTTTGAAGCCTAAATAAGTGACGCAATCTGAGGGGGAGTGGTTATCTCATCAAGAATAATTATGGGGTAAACGGACGGTAAGCGTTTTCTAGTGAAAATAATTAACTGGCTTTTCAATGGAGCAGCCTCAAAATAATGAATTTGAAGTGCGTTGGAGAGGATGGCAAGTGAATTATTAAGGGAGTTGAGGGTATTATGAATAAGAAAAGAGATAAAATACATTAATATACCCACCTCAGAAGTACAACAAAACATCTAATATGGGATTTAAATTGTGTAAAAGTATTCCCGGGAATAGGGAAAATCACAGATTTTTATCAATTAATAACAATACCATAAGAAGTCTTAAGATATCATTAACTGACTTTTATGAAGACACAATATTCTAACTACTAGAAAAACCATGATTATTTATTAAAATATTTTACAATATTATCATAATAATTTAATTTATTTATTTTTTATTTTCCAACTAAAATAATGAATTGAATATTTATAAAGTGTCTAATAATTATATTGAATTATAATACATTACATTTACAATGATATACAAAAGAAATTACAAATATGTGGTTTGAAAACAACAAAAAACTATCATTAAATTATTTGATTTTCTAATGCTAAATTTTACATGTTACACATTTTTCTAAAACTTCAAATTTTTATGGTGTATAAAACATATATATATCTACAAAACTAAAAAAAAAATTTTGGAAATTAGGTTCCCCAACAGAGATATTGCACTTAGAATACACGTATTTTTATAAAATTTCTAACTTTGTAGGCCTCTAAATCCCAAGATAATTGTTTTAAATATTTGAAATTTAGTTGAAACATAGATTATACACTATACAATACCACATGTAAAAATCACAATAAAATAATAACTTCTTAATGGTTTTAAGTGAGCTCAATAACGCCAATTTTCACAAAAAAAAGCACCATTTGTTGAAAGTCATTAAAGTTTAGAATTTCTCATTAATTTTTTTTTTGTAAACTTTAAGTAATAATAGGGTCAAATCTAAAATTTTAATTCGATTGAGTTGAAATTGAATAATCTGTGTTTTTTAACGATCTAGCTATTTTTAACTTTTTTTACATTAAAATAACCATAAAAATGGGAAGATCATAAAAAAAAAAAATTGAATTGAACAAGAATTGAATTCTTGTTTTTGTATTTCGAGGTCAATTTATTAAGCTTGGCTACAATATCTTTTTTTACTTCTATTGGAAGTCGTTTATCAAACACAGAAAAAGATATGCATTCGTCACTTAAACACCACAAAGATTTAAAAATTTTGAGAAGCATGCATTTGCAATTTAATTATCGTCATTCCTGTATGATACAAAGTACGTATTAAGTTTATGTCATTTGGGGGAGCTTCACTTGTATTTTTAGATATAAACCAAGATTTTATATATACTTTTATTATAATTGTACACATTTTTTCGAGAGCTTGCTCTTCTGTTTTTGTCAATTTCAATTCTAATCGAAATAAAAATATCTTTATGCAATAATTCCTTTGGCCATCCATCTAGCTTGATGGTAAGCACCAGGTTGACTTATATTTAATCCATCAGGTAGAGTTCCATCAAGCATAATGATCACTATCTCAATCAACTCTTTATAGTCTTCTCTTGGCTGTGTTATTGTAACCGTTTTTAAACAAAATAATAATAATTCTTCACGAACTGGAGATAAAATTTGTTTCATGTAACTACTTGAATTCCACAAACTTATATTATTTTTGTTTATTCCTTTCCATGTATTTTTAAATCATTTAAAAATTGCAATGTCTGGTCCTGATAAAACGTGTAGTTTGGCTCCATTGATTGCAGACTGGAGTATCAATTCAAAAATATGATGGCGGCATGTAAAGTACAATATTTCTCTGCTTAATTTCTGTTTCAATAAAGTACAAGCTTCATGAAATCTTCCAGTATTAGATGCC